CAAAATAACATTTTTAATGACATTGTGTAAGTATAAAAGTATTATATATAGTATTATATATATTATAGATGGGAGGACGTAGTTATAAATTATGTGAAAGCGCTAGGAAATGGAGTGGACTGGAGGATACAGGCATCAGATAATGAAAATTGGAGACAAGGATGTATGTTGAGGTGGTCCTAGTGGCTGAGTTTTACCGAAGAAGCAGAATATAATTGCTAAACGTAATAAATTATAACGTAATTACATCCATAAAGTAGGTTATATTATCTATCACAGAACTAACAGACGTTGCTATAACAACCGTTGCCAATAGTTGCCGTTGCCAATAGTGACAAATTATCCAACAAAAATCAATAACAGTCATTCGTGTGAATTTTGGGAGAGAACGTTAACAGAAAATATTTTCCGATAAATAACATTTGATATAAAACATATGAAATATACGTATTAATATACGACAATTGTATTTAAAAATTAAATAGAAAAATAATGATATACAATAATAATACAAATCGAATAATAAATAGATTGTTAACTCTAAAACGGATACAATATTTTTGGTATTCTGAGTGAACCATAAAATTAAATCTGTTTTTTTTTGGGTCCAAGCAAATTGTACCAGATAGAATTCTTGCAAACATTTTTTTATATAAAATGTTATCTAGTTAGTGAATTTGGGAGGACATTTTTTGAATTTCACAAATGTTTTCTAAATAATTCATAAAACTCGATAAAAATTAGGAAAATATTTATGTACAATTTTCGTCGTAAAAACGCATACAAATTTTAATTTATACAAGATTTTTGACACATTTTTTTTTGTTCTGACATTAACTTGCTTACATAATCATTACTGCTATTATTTTTAGTTCGTTGAAAATATTTTCAAGTTAGGGCTTCACCACAGTATACTCATCGTCTATTACGTCTTCTATAAAGTAGATCTGTTAATTGTATTGATATTAAGATGTTAACTTTTATTTTCTTAAATTACTTTATATGAAAATAAAACTGTTTGTTTTAAAAAGAAAAAATACTGTATGAAAATCTAAAGGGGGCTATGAGTAATACAATTTTAGAAAACACTGTTCTAATTCGTCATTATCTGGGAAGCTTAAATCGACAAATTTAATCAACTCTGGAACCAAAGAAGCTTTTGTTCATTATAACTATTTTTTAACTTTTATATTTTGATAGAATCACATATTCCGTGTATTTAAATATGTTACATCGAAATAAGATCGATTAAAATCGTAAAAAATATTGGAAATGTTTTTTCTATAAATAGTATAAATTTAATAAAAACATTTCAAAAGTTATATAAAATCAATAAAATCATTATATAAATAAGTTAGGTAACTTATGTAGGTATTTTCAAGTTATTACAGTTAATATTTTTAGTAAAACAACAAATTTGTTGTTACTTAAATAATATTGATATCGTTCACTGAAAATTCGTTGAAATACATAATTTCGTCAACTTAAATATATAGGTATATATTTTACTTATTGAAAATATTTATCCGTTCTGTCAACATCGACTACGTTCTCGATTGAAGACGAAAACGCACGGAGAATCTATAAATATATTTATATGACTTGTGACCGCAGTGATTTGCGACAAGATTAATACGGTAGGTAACGTGTTGAATGAATAAATGAAAATTCCCTTTTGACAGATCACGATGAATTAGGTCAGTGAATTTATCCGCATTCAGAAAATTCATTATTACAATTAATTATTACATATTACAAATTATTCTTATGTTTTTGAAAATAATAAAATAACACAATTTTCTTTAACATTTAATAGTAATAAAATGAAGTTAAATATTTTTAAAATGATTCGAACTTTATAAAAAGCGGCTTAAGTTGTACTTTATAAAAACATTTTAAAACTGCATTTTAATACAATAAGATGATTCGTATTTTAACTAATATCTAAGCGAAACACATTTTAAGTGAGAGTATATGGTGGTGGTGTAATCAGTTTGGCGGGAATGAAACCTATTGTGTGCACACTGTATTTAAATTTTGACCGCTTGTAGAAATATGTACTTAGCAAAAAGGTGATTTAGGGTGGCTCAGCCACCCAGAATAATTACAGGCCACCCTTTTGGCTACTTCATAATATTTTTGAAATATCCGATGCTCAAATAATTGAGTAAACAAAGTTAAGCCATGTTGTAAAACTTATATTTTAATATTTGTTATTATTATATAATTATGTTTAACACTGTGTGCGACAAATACATAATAAGACATCTGTTTACCTAGATGGACAGCACACGTTTTTGTTAATATGGATCTATGATAAGGAACGATAATGAAGATTATTCAATAATCGCTAAGGGTCTTTTAAATCAAATTGATATGAGTATTATATTTTTTTTTAATTTTATAGTGTTTTATAACATACTAATTATTTTCCAAAAAAGTTAATGATTTTTTACAAGGCTTTATTGACGAAATGGCAGAAGATATGGTTTTAATGAAATCGACTATTATGACGCACAAAAATATGAGAAACGATTCAAATGGTTCTCACAACGTTTTAAATAAATGTACGAATAACTTTGAATACTTGTGGAGCAAATAATATACCATTAATCGGTGAACAAATACAAATTAAAAGAAAAAATCGTTTTCCTCAAAGGTGTAAATCATATTTTATTGATGAGAATACATTTTTAGAAAATTAACAATTTCAACCAAAAAATTATTTTCGAATAAAATTATTTTTGCCAATTTTAGGTAAATTTATAAACGAATTGAAAAACCAAACACAATAAAATTTAACAACGAGAAAATTTAAATAAATATCTCAAATTTTTTGAATTTTATTGGTTGATTTGGAAAAGTATAAACTCATTTTTAATGAAAATACAATATGGTAATAAATCTCAATTACAATTTCAGTATCAAGTGAGAAAGGACTTTTTCTTGCCTAAAGACATTGGTATATAATGAACGCCTATCAAATTTATGTATGATGAGCATTGAGAAGAAGATAGCAAACTCTTTGAACTTGGAAGATATAAAATAAAAGATAAAAATTACCTAATATATTTGTTTATTTAAATTTAGAATCTTAATATTTTTTGTATTATTGTTACTATAACATTATGCTGAAAAGAGGTAGATTTGTGAAAACCAGTGTAGACTTGTGAAAAATTACCGCTCTAAATGACTAAAATATTATAGAATATAAGTATAATCTAATATTTAATTTCAAAGTTATCGATAACAATCCCTGGCATTCTATGTTATTTAACAAGTTGGTTGCCTGACATATTTTACCAAACTTTCAAAAATCGTTTTGTGTATCATTAATGATACTCTGATAGCTTACTGACTACGTCTTAATTAATTTTTATAGACATAATTTGGCAGAATTAAGCATTACATATGCTTCTCTTGTAATTTTGGTTTGCCTGCATTTAGTTATTAATAAACTCGTTTATTATAGAAAATAATTTTTGAATATCTACCGTGACTCTGAATTTAATTATTCCTTCTTATTCAAATCAAAATTGTAATTTTTTTACATTTTTTATTTCGTTCAAAAATTCCAATATTTCTTTATTAATTGTTTTGTATCATAGAAAAAATCATTTAAAAATGTACAGATTTAAATGAAAAACACATTTATATTGTTAAGAATATTGAAAAATACTGAATAAATAATAAACAAATTACAGTTGTATAATTTATTGTTGTACATAATATGTATTTTCATTGAATAATATGTATATATTATACACATATTATTCAATAAAAATAGTATATAATAGAATAGCATATAAACAGAATAATAAAAAATGAAATTACATTTAAGAAACTTATACTTTAGGAACATATAATTACAGTATTTGAGTTAAATTAATAAACTTCAATTAATTTTTTTTTTTACCAAAGTACTTTTTATTATTTCTAATGCTATTTTTTTAGATACATTTTATTTACAACAAACTCTTTACTAGTATAAATTTTAAAGTCAACAATATAGAAATTATTAAGACCTAATTTAAATATGTCAATCCCATATCTGTGTCTTTTATTTTATATGTATTGTCTGAATGATAAACCCCCATAAATGGTATGATTTATTATAGATTTATTATATATATTAAGATATTAGATAATAATATATTTATTATAGATTCATCAATACATACTGATCGAATTGGAGATCGTGCATTTTATATTTAGAGACTAGCAAGTTCATTAATTTATTTACTTTTAATAAATGATCACCAGCAAAACAAAGATCGTTATAACAATAAAGAAATGCTCTTAAAGGAACTCGAATCTTTTTATTTTCATAATCTGTGGTATATATGATGTATAGATTATTTGAAGGCATATGATTTAAACCCACCCACATGATAATCCCTAGAAATATCTTCATCTCATTGTGATTTACTTCTTTCCAGTGTTTATGATGAGATTGTAGCTATCTATGGATGTTTGTAAACGCAACGTTGTTATTAAAGTCACATTCATTAATAAATTTAAAATTTCATCATCCAAAAAAATAGAATCAAATCTATGTGATGTACCGTCGATTAGGATTTTTATTAAATCCGAATTAATGCCAACATATACATTATTTAAGTTAAGCATTACGAGTATACCTCAATTAAAATTTGAATCAATTTCTTCAAATAGGTTCTGGTACATATTGGTTATTTTTAGAATGGGATCATTGTATTAGATCTGGTATTTGAGGAATTCCTATTATTTGTACGTCGTAATTACAAAATGATAACAATTCGTTTGAATCATAGTATCAAATGATTTTTAATGATAAAAAAAATAAAAAAATCGTGAGTCATTATATTTAATCATTAAGAATGAAGACCATTATAAATATGAGGAGTATAGTTATTAACTATCAATATATTATCTAGGTCATCTTCTGAAGACTCATTATCAGACCAGTCGGACGAGTTATGATAATTTTAAATCACATTGGAGTCCACAGTTATTCCAAAAATAGATCAAAAACCGACAACGGTATCGCGAAAAGGAAAAAATTCAAAGAATGATAATTCAACAGTCTTGATAAGAATTGCACTGGAGCACAATGATAAGCGTAAGTATGTGATATTCAATTCATGCGGATTTAATTTTAACAAAACTCGACGTTTAATCGGGGGAGAAAATAAAATACATTAAAAAAAAAAAAAAAAAATGGGTGTATTAATTATTATTATTATTTTTTTTAATGTACAATCAAAACACATTTTTTTTAGACAAAAGTCCGTGGAATCTATCAACGAAATATTCGTCGACACGTCGGCCGCCCAAGGTCGATGATAACGGCTTCACAGAAAGAAAAACAGACGTGACATAGCGTGCGACGTATCACAAAAAATATAAATAAATAAAATATAAAAATTTTTGACGGCGTTTCAGGTCGTGCGTATTCACGCACTCGTACAATCTGCAAACCAATTTTATTCCACACGAGGGGAAGCGTATTCGACCGTTTTCTCGAACATGGAAGGTCTGAACCTCCTCGCTCCTCGTAACCTCACTCCCGGCGCGCGATATTGATTTCTAAAACTGCGACGCGATGTTTATGCGCGGGCCGGGAGGCTGAGGGCCGGTTGCCACGGGAACGTGCGTCTCGCGCCCGACCGCCCGATCCCGGGGGCGGTACGCGCACGGCTGATAACCATCGGGTTGATACGCGACCGCGGCACCGAGACCCGCGTTCGTCCCTGTCAGATTTCCATCGGGAGCCCAACGTCACTGGTGTCACACGACGTCCAGACCGCCGTCCAGCCGACAGAACGAGACCAATTCACATCAATAACACTACCTATATCATCGCAAACAACCGCTGCTGTTATCGTCCGCAGTTTCCGTCGCAGGTAATAATAACACACCGCCGCCGTTCCTCCCCGACTTAGTCGTACACGCACGATAATCGGTTGTTACGATAATTGTAACGATACGATCCATTATCGTAATACGTGCGCGCACGCCACGACGATGTCGTAACCGACTCATTGTTGTGTACACGCATAGGCGGCCGCGATCGTTGTGATATTTACTTTTTGATTTCCATTACGGTACGCGTTGTTATTATTATTGTTATTATTATTATTATTATTATTATTATTATTATTATTATATTGTTTTCGCTTGAACCGCATAGATTAGTTTTGTTCGACGTTACGATTTGACATTTTATTACATTCCATTCCCATTAGACGACATTCGATAGAGTAGTTATCGACGAGTTACGTTCGAATGAAATTTAATATCTTATACTTGCATACAAAATAATGTTATATACCAATACATCGTCATACGTTGCTGTGTATTAGTTTTTCATGTATTGTTTAACGCTGGATCTTACACCGATGAAATATGCACGTGTGATTTATGTTCGTTCTTCGTTTATTTATCGTATTGTACGCTACGGCGGCTCATCGATGAAAACATTTAGAAACTTAAATATGATCTGCACTCATCGTGTATATCAGTTGATTATACGCGTGTTAATAAGCACGGTTTAACATGCATTTGTTTTTTTTTAGTCGAATAAATCCAACCCTGGATTGTACGCATTTGAACGAATTAAGACCGGGTTGGAATTATTAATAATATAGTACATCAAAACTGTATCGTTATTTTTTTTTTTTTAATTCAATTGCGGATACTCATACACACATTAATTGATCACGTAAATAAAATAAACTCTTTCACTTGTACATACATGTTGCTACAATAACAGTATTTCACAAGCTTGATATCCAAAATATTGTTCAAAATTCAACACTCATTATTGTGTTACATATAAAATAATTAATATTAATTAAGATCTCTTAGAGGAGATACAACAAAGAGATCGGGTTGTTTCGCTTTATGTATGTATATTTTAAAAGCAATAATAAGTAATTGGATTCTGTGAAAAGCTGTGCTAAATTAATTATCTAGTCTAAAGGGTTTAAACGCTTTTTTAAACAAACTGATGGTTTTTGAGATATTTGTACAACGTTGTAGCGCCATAAATATTTTATAAACACGTCATATACCAATTAGTTATAAAATAAATCGTTGAAATTCATTAAATCAGTTAATTCGATTGACAATTAAAATGTAATTACTAAGTAAACCATATTTGGATACATATTTAAGTTAGATAAATATAGATAAGATGTTTTATCTTTAATGTACTCAAGTTAATAATCGGCGAAGATTCTAAAACGGTTTGATTATTATCTTCTAAATTTAGCAAATTACTAAAACCAGTCTCTTTAAAAATCAATACGTGTCGTAAGAAATATAATTTTTCGTAGTTTTTTTTAAATTTAAATAGTATCACGTAGATGATGGAAAAAATATTTATGTTTTATTACACAGGTTAAGGCTTTTTTTTTTTATGATTTTTAGACTAATCACAAAAAAAATTTTACTCAAGTTTAAACATAACTGTAATTTAAAAAAAAAACATTTCATTATAAAAAAACACTAATATTAGTTTAATTTGTTACATCAATAATAAAAATATGTTGTATAATTGATTATTATTATTGAACACAATTTTCCTCTGAAACTAAATAGAATAATATACATATATAATTTACAAGTATGATAAAATAATGTAACATGTTGATAAATTAAATTAATATGTTTCCAATAAAACCCATAATATAAGTAGAAGATTGCATGGAGTAATAATCGTTTTTACATCATATAAATGCACATTAATATTGTTAAATATAACTAAGAGTGTTTACTAATTATTCGCAAGCAAAGCAATAAATCAACATCAATTTATTTACAAATTTTATTAATATTAGAGTATAATGTTACGAAAGAAATTTTTATCGTGCAATGACAATTTATTTTAATTAATTAAATATAATGTTGAATTGATTAAGAAGAATACAGCATTGTAATTGTTTATTTTTCTGTACACAACGCATTGGTGGTGTAGAAGATTTACCATGAGATAAGAAAAAAATAAAAATATAATTTATTATAATATCGAAAGAAAAACTTTTGTTCCGCAAAAATTTAAGTACATTAAATTAATTAATTAATAAAATAAAATAAAATAAAGTAAATAAATAAAATTAATTTTAAGTACTTAATTTATGTCAGTACTTCTTAAGTGAAAAGAAAATTTGGAAATATGTTTATTAAAAACACTAACATGTTGTATTCACAAAATTATATTATTAAAATCATTTTTTTAAGATACCAATTCGTTATTTTTTTTCTATATTGTTTGTATATGATTAAAATATCGAGATTTATAATTTTTAACGACTAAAGTAAATTTGATAGTATTATGTATGGTATATGTAAATGTTATGTACATGATATAGGTTGATAATATTTTATTTGAAATATTAGTATAATAGGGTTATTTGAAGTTCTAATGTTTGAAATTTGTACAAGTTTATCCTTATAAAATTGAAGAAATATGATAAAATACCATTTACGAGTAATAGAATGGATAAAGAAGTATACTTTTTTTTTAAATTTAAATCAAGGTAAACAATATACAAGTATATTTAAGTTAGGTTAAGAGCTTCATTGTGATAAAAAAATGTTAATTTTTTTATAACAAAATTATTATAAAAGAGTTCAAATGTTTCTATTAAATTAAGGTTTTCTTAATTTCTAATATTTTTAAAAATATTTAAAACATTAAATGTATTTAGTGTAATCTAAAAAATGAAGGGTTAAAAATTATTTTGAAATCGGTATATTTAAAATTATAAATCTATGTACTATAAATGATTTGTGTGTTGGGAATAAATAATGATATATTCATGTGAGCGTGTATTTGTTTATCAAAAAATATAGATTATTGAATGATAACAAATAAATAAATAAAATACAATAATAATAAAACAATCGTTTCATTATACATAATATTTAACTGATGTAATAATTATTTCCTAAAGTGATGACTTATCATATAATATTATTGTATTTATGATACTATTGGTGCCTGTTGGATCATAAGCCATGCCTGGTCTCATGAAGTCTAAAAAGTCCACCGACGACAAAGACGACAAAAACCATATTTACCGCAGAGTTACCGTATCTTTAGCCAGAGAAGAACACTCTAGCTTCTCCGACGAGGAAGTCATGAACCATCCCGGGATGGTGAGGTTGATGGGCTACCTCGAAAGTTTGCCAGTGGCGGAGCGAATCCTCGAGTTCACAGTACAGTCATCTGAAGAAGAACGTCAAAATCAGTCAGGATTTAGAGTCCACGAAACCGAAGAAGCTCGCAGAATGCGAGAAATAGAGGAAGATCGCAAAAACTACATGAACCGTTTTTTCCGTTAAAAAATGTATCCATAAAAGTAAGTCAAACCGATGAATGTTCACTAAACAAAAGTATAATAATAATATAATATTAATACGGTTTTAACGGAACTTAAATTTTCTGATGTCTTCAATATTTTTATCCGTTTTATGTTACGCAGTTTATGGGAATAAATAGTTAACTGAAATTAAAAAAAAAAATTGTATTTGGATAATTATTTCAGTTCCTGAAATGTGTTTACATAACAAAGCTTGAAAACTTGAAATTTGATTATAATAATTCTTGTACAGTGAACTTAAATTTTCAAAAAACTATAAACGGACTTATTGTGATAATTATTTTTACTAGAAAATGTTTAGTTTTACAGAAAAAAATTAATTTTGGTGAAGTCTTATCTTCGTTAATTCTGGTAAAATAATTATATTTATAATTTTTATATTCAATGCGTTGAACCTATCTGTATCAATCCTGTATTAATACAATTCAAATACTTACTGTTTCATATTTTATTTCTACGCCGCTTCGTTTAAACTATTCTGCTAATCACTGTAAAAAATTAATTCATAATTGTTACATATTGTAAACAAATATCTTCATTTAATATAATTATTTTAAATCCCGTATCGAGGTAAAAATGTTATAATTTTTATAAAATAAAAATGTATGAACGATTTTTTGATTTTATTTTTAGATTCCGGCAACGTAGCTACTTATCCAAGAAAGTTTATCCACTCAATGAATCATAATCGTTCTTTTGATCAGTTTAATTAAATATATATCAATAAAATAAGAATATACATATATACATAGGTAATGATAGCATTGTATTGTTTTTTTTTTGCTCCAAATTATTTAAAAAAAATATGTTAACCTATGGTACACAATATAATTAAAATTTATATATTAAACAGTAAGAAACTACTAAGAATAATAATATAACTGATGTATAAAGTATTTTTAAAATACTATTTTATTGTTTGTTTTTACTTTAAATATCAAAATCATATAATCTGTTACATGGTTGTGGTTATGGTTGAAATCGAATACATTTCATAAACAACTTACATATTGTATTGTAACATAATATAATATATTATATATAATACAATAAATTGTAACATATTGTACAATTTGCTTACAGTTTTGATTTTAATTAAAATGTATTTGGGATTTTCTATTGTAAACTTTAAATTCTAATTATTAGTAACATATCACTTTATTCTGATGAAATAAAATAATTAAATGTATACACACTGCAAATATTATGATCATATTATGTCGATAACATAAAAAAATATTGTATACTTTTTATTGAAATCAATTACTGTCATAAAACAACAATAAAATCTGAGTAAATTATATTTAACTGTTTTTTGAGCAAATTTTTTTTTTTACCAATACAATTAGATAAAATATTATATTAGCATTCTAATTTATACCGTTTTTATCGTTAAAAATATACCAATTCTATAAAAGATCAAATAGTGTAATTTTTTTTTTTTATATAGAGATCTTATGTTAACTATGTAAAACAAATTGTTAACAATTAAAAATAAAAACTTGTACTTCTCTTTACGCGCATTTTATTTAAGTATATATATATAAAAGTGTAAATATATAGAACAATGATCTTTCAAATATGATATTGTTGTTTTAATAGCAACTGTAAGATTGGAACAGTAAAATTCACAGTTCCGGTACAAAGTCAAATATTTAAGTTTCTACTTTGTAATCACAATAAAAAATATTAAACATTTTACAAACACGTAAACAAGTAATTAAAATTAAAGTGAATATTTAGTAAATTCAAAAATTAAATTTTCATCGGAAATACTTAATACAAATGTACTAAGACTGTAGGTAAATATTATTTTAGACTTCTGGACAGAATTAAGAATTATCAATTGTTCAAGCAATTATTGTCCAAAATTTAAACAATGATTTAGACTCCAAATGATAAAAATGAGTGATGGGAATAATATAATAGAATAATCGAATCATTCCATTATATTAAATAATCGAATCATTCGATTATTATTTTTTGATTATTAAAATAATGGAATGGTTTTAATTATCCAAATAATGTTACCAGACATATTTGTCAAAAGAAAATTGATTCAATTATTCGAAAAAATTGTGTATTTTACTCATTGCCCATTGGGTACTAAATTAAAAAGTCGACTGTCCATTAGTATTGTATAATTATTTATTTTATTTTTAATCATTGGTATAATTCCCGTTATCGGTAATCGCCACACTAATTGGTTTAATAAGTATAAATATTTGGATTGAAAATGCATTTCACTTTCATGCTTATAAATAATCATTTGATCATTTATACAACCAGTTCAAGCAATAAAATTATGAATCATTGGATTATTTGATTATTTTGATTTCATGTACTAATCATTTGATTATTTTGTTTTTGACTACTAATCGATTATTTTGATTTCGTTTTCTAATCATTCGATTATTTTGTTTTCGACTACTAATCATTCGCTTATTTTGTTTTCGATTACTAATCTTCGATTATTCGATTATTATTATTTTTGATTACTATTCATTCGATTATTTCCATCACTAATACAAATGTAATATTGCGCTATTCGTAACAATAAAGTTCTGTTGTTTTCATAAAAATCAACTTTATTCTTAAGTCAGTTTTTCATCGTAGACTTATCTTCATAAATTAAATAACTTAATAAAAGCAATTAGTTCTAATCAACATTTAACGTCATATGTTGAATAACATAATATATATTTACTTTTAAAGAAGAATTAAAAAAATAATATTGCTGATTTACAACTTTATTTATTAAATTCGTTAAATAGTTCCAAAGCAATTGAAGTAGATACAATATAGTGAAAAAATAAATAAAATTTTTGTGTTTTGACTAATCATAGTTTGAGTAAAAAGTATCTAATGAGGTATTTTCAAAAAATAAAATTTCTTTTTTGGTTCAACTATTCAATATTTGTATTTAATTATACTCATGACCATGAAATATTAAACTGAACTAAATTAACTTTTATAACTAAATTTGACAGAAATCAACTGAATTCATCATGCAGCTAGCTAATTTTTAAATTTAACTAAATTTTCTAATTTGGTTACTTACACAGCCTTGATGATAGTTATATACTGTAAATTAAGTACCAAATATTTAATATACTTAATTTTTATAATAATAATTTAATTTTTAATATTTTATTATATATATATTTAATTTTAATATACTTAAAAAAAAGACATAACAAACCATGGTGAAAATTAAATTTTACATAGGTAATATAAATATTTAAAATTATAATTTATCACGATTTTATTATAATATTATCGTTGCATTAAACTTTTGAGTATATAATTATATTGTTTTGAAATACAATCAAATTTTTTCAAGTTTAAGTATTATTTCATTTGGGTTTGAACTTGATATGCTCAAGCTTGTAGAATTTTTTATACTCTTATGTATATTATTTTGCACTTAATAATCGAATTAGAATTTATATTTCATGTTATTAAGTACTTAATTATGTTATGTAAAGCATAATTAAATGTAAGATAATGTAGACTATAACTAATATAATCGTTATCGATTAACAATAAAATAGGGTCTCGAAAATCCGAACAAGATTGGGGAAAGGGGTCGTTCGGGTTACCGATTTATTGAGATTATTTATGGCTTAATAAAAACATCAATTTTATTGTAATTTAAATTATGAAATTTATTTTTATCTGTATTAATCATGTAAAATTTCGTAATTTAAAAAGACAATTATACACAATAAAGATAATGTATACAAACAATTATTATAATTATATACAGGGCCGGCTCAAGGTATAAGCGAGCTAGGCACCTGCCTAGAGTGGCACTTTAATAGGGGCGGCATTATTACCGAAATTATTTTTGATGAGGCAGGCCATATGGGTTCCCCGCCTACAATATTCAACGTAATTTCAGAAAGCATATTTATAAATTATAATTTGTAATGTTTATTTATATTAATTAGTTGATAAATTTATTGTTGTTTTAAACATCCTTTTACATTTATTTTATTTAGATTACTTAGTAATTTAAGTCAATTTTACTAAAATAACTATGTTCCAAATCTATTTTATTGATAGAAATATTTTTCCATGACATTTTCTTTTAAGTTTCAATCATTAATCGATCTCTGTTACGTTATTCGATATTAATTTTAATCGTTTTTCGTTTCTGTTTCGTTATCCGTTATCCGTTTTCAATCGTTTATCATTTACTGATATGTTATCTGATATCGGTTTCAATCGTTTTTGAATAGTTTAACGTTATACTAATAACGTTATCAAAACGTTTTGGTGTCCTGTTTAATATTACGGCCTACGCTGGGCGTTTTCATTTATTTCAAAAATATTAATAACCACACAATCACTTCCGCGATTTCCAATAGTCCTGATAGTGATGGGTTTTGCTTAATAATTATAGAAATCATTTTTAAGTCTTTTTACATATAATATTATACATAAAATAAGAAAAAAAAAATTATGTAGATATATGACATAAAAAATAGGAGGAAGGGCTAAGTTAAAATAAGAGCTTAATTTTTTTTAGAGACGGCAAAATTTAATTTTGCCTACTGCAATATTTTTGCTTGGGCTGGCCCTGATTATATATGTGTATAATGTACAGCCAGTTAATATAATATTTATTACATAATATGAACCTTATTATTTAAAACATATATTTAATATTATTATTATGATATACATACATATGTATTAATATAGCGATGCGATATTTTTCAAGATCGTTCGGATTAGCCTGTGTTCAGATTATCGAGACTCTACTGTATTTGATAATATTATATATATAATAAAATACCCAAACATAGTAAAATATAACGCTCTTATAGTTTGAATTTATACATCCAAAATAACAATACATGTAAACGTTATATAAGGCGTTTTGTAGTCTAATAAGTCTAGTCGAATCAAATAAGGAAAAATAATGGAAATAATTCCTCGAAAGTTGAATTTTGATACACAATCAGTCCATAATTTTTTTTAAACGTAAGTTCAAAATTTAATAAGTGTAAAACTAAATAGAGGGTACGCAAACCTTTTTAATCGATAGAGAACTATGCACATGGGGTATGTCTAGGAACTTTTAGTATATAAATCAGTAAGTTGTTATCAGTAAGATTGTGTACCAAAATTCAGCTTTTGAGGAATTAGTTCCAATCTTTATAGGTTTTTTTGTCTAACTTGACTGATCTATATGATCAATGCTAATTTAGTTATTCATTCCGAGAATAATCCTAGTGCTCTTGGATCCCACGCTAAATGTTTCTCCCACATTAAACATAGATCCAGGTATATGCCCTGCATAATTCTTAATAATTCCTGCTTCATATGGTAATCTACGAGAAACCATTTTTGGTTTTGGAGCTAAGGTGCCGGCTATAGTCGGTAGTTTCAAGTTCGCCTTTTCCTTCTCGTAACGTGAAGTGAACAACTTCAGCGCCTCATTGGTGATAGAAGAGTTTGTAGCGCCATGGAAATTGTTCAAACAAGGTATATGTCCTGTATAACCTTTCTTCAGGTACTTATCTGTATTTTCCATCTCCATGAAATGAGGAGGAACAGGACGCGTTGGAATTTTATATGCATACATCTCATTTACTTTTTGTAAGCCACCTGGTATCTAATATTTCAATAAAATAAAAAACCAATGATTTATTTCAAAAAAAAAATTGAGTACGTACAAATAATATAAATGAATAAATAATTAATTCAAAATGCAGTAATTTCTAGATAAAATCTCAAAAAATATTCAATACTATTTACTTTTGCTATTATTTATTATAATTTATATTTTTATAAAAATTAAATTATAATATTTTATTTTATATTTTGTAAACTTAAATTTAAACTCAATTTTATAAAGTAAATATTAATTATATGGATTTTACTTTTTTTATGTAAATAATGTTTGAGGAAAATAATAAGGTAAATACGTATAGATATTCTGTATTGGTAATTAAAAATCGATTTTAATTTAAATTGTTTTCATTAAATAAATAAAAAATAATTTTACTACACCCTCAATGAATATATGTGTAAGTATGTATATATTTTGTATATAAATGTATAATAAATAGTACAAATACATTTCAAAATTATATCAATAGTTATATCGGATAACTCGTGTCTCAAAAATTGAAGCTAGTGAAAAATAATAATCAACAATATTTAAAAGATGTACTTCGTTTGAATCGGAAAAACCTTAATTAGAACTCAATTAAATCGAGGACAGCCGACATGAAAGGACGAAAAAGACTTTAAAAGCTAAGGATAATAAATTCCGAGTGAAATGTGGATACGAATAAAAATACATTAGGACGTTTATAGAACAATAAAAAGTTTACAGATCAGAATGATTACGACATTATAAGTGAGCCGTAATAAAACGTGTGATATACCTCTTTAGATGGACGAGTATGAGTATTTGTGGTGTCGTCTTCGTTTGTCTTGATTATTTCATTTCCATTTTCCTCGGTGTTCAAAGGTTTACAATCAGGACATAAACACGTATTTTTCTTTTCCATAAACTTACATATCCCAATTGCTGCATTCACAGGAAATCTGGTGTATATTATCCATATGTAATTTTTACCAATATGTATTAGATATACTAAAATCTGCATTCACTATGATATTCTATGATAACGGTGTGCAATTTACAAAAATGTCCGAAATCACACGACTCTCATTTATTAAACTAATACTGATTGTTCGAAATATAGAGTTACAATTCTCCCCTTCTCCCTGGTATGTGTATTACATGCGCAAAACGAGTTTTCGGCTTGAGTTATGATGTAATGATAATTCAACAGCGTTATGCTTTAAATCAATGAAACCTATTATATACTGCTTTCGATGAAACGCATTGTTGAATAATTACTCTCGGATAGTAATAATCAAGTTGTTCTAGTTTCCACAATCGTCAACGAGTAATTATGTTTACTTGTGTCCGTCCTGGAATCTGTATTGGGGTACGTGTCCAGTGTAGCCGATCACCATGTCCTCCGTGTACCTGCATTCCTTATTGTCGTGACACCGGTTCTGCAGAGCTTCCTTGTCTTCTTTTGACACCCATTCCTCATGGGGCTTACCCAACTCGAGCAACACCAATTTTTTTGATCGTTTTATCCTCTGGTCCAAAAACAAAGTGTTCGTCAGCCTGCCATATGTCTCGCCGCAGTGGAACTTTAAGCCGGGCACGAATCCCGTGTATCCGGTCAGATAGTGCGGCTGCGGTGGTAAAATTTTCCTAATAGATGCCATTTGTATTGTGCCAAGTGAAGATTTTTAAAATTTTAAGATGTAAATTTCGAACCGTCTTGATTATAACCACTATGGTTTTTAAATAAATTTAAATAATATCCGATAGTCACTATAGAAATGTTACAAACGTATGACCTAGATACACACGTTCAAAAAATAATATAACAATAAATTATACTTACAGTACTATAATCACGTACCTATTGATTGAATAAAAAAAAAAAAATATTAACATTTTATAATACGAATTAAAATTTAAAAAGGAAAAGAATATAATGGTTTTTTACATTTCAGTATAGACTTAGGTATAACTTTACAAATATTCCATAATATTTCGTTGGGCACTGCTCTGTTTATCATAACTTTAAATGATTATGAATGTTTATAAATAATTGATAACTGGTTCAATATTCGATTTGTGTAAATCATAATTTTTGTAATTTGGTTAACATTTTATTTATAATGCCAGTATGACAACATCCTAAAAGAAAGAAATTACATTTAAAAAAAAAACAAATTTTTATTAAAGGAAAATATATTTACAATCTATTGCAAGTGAATACTAAGTAAGTGTGATAACATTGGTTAAATAACCTTTAAGTATATGAGTAAAAGACCCTCAGCAGTGCCACCTGACTAGAAGAAAAAAAACAAATTAAGTTTATAATTACTTCTACTCTATTAGATACCTAACCGTCAATCCAAGTATAAAAAATATTTATGTTAGATCGTTGATTAAATTGAACTTTTTAATATTCATAAAAGAAAAATTACCTATTATATTGGCATTCAAAATGAAATAACTTATTGGTATATTGCATCGGTGCACGTATCATGTAGGTATATAATTGCAATAATTATATTTTTATGATTAAATAATTATATTGTTTTTATAATAAACAGATTCACCGTTCAGCTGTTTATGTGTGAAACGTTAATCATTGTAATAAAAAATTCCAATAGAAAGTAATATTCTATCTTTTGTCAAAAAATAATCAATCGTTTGGTATTTATTTTCTAATGCTGTCACATGTAGAGGAATACAACATACTATTGTTGTAATCAACACTTGTTTTTATAGTGAGATTTTTAAAACAGTTTAATAGTATATTTTAGTTTATACAATTATGTACAATTTTTTTAATTTTTTTGATTGCACTTGATGTAATATTAAAAATCTATTAAGATCGTTCCATTGTTAATATTAATTTTTGAGATGCAATTAATTGTTTTCATTTTTGTGCGATATATACATGAGTAATAATAAGAAATATATTAAAATGTCTAGAGAAATACATGTATATGTGCATATTTTAATTAATTCATTAATTAAAAAGAGATTTTCCAGATTTAAAGCTGTCTGTTTGCCACGGGATAATAGTTTAATAGACAATGACAGTGAAATTAATTTTAATGAATCATTTTTTTCATTGTTAGTCTTACGATAAAAGTTAATAATATTTGATTATGTAAATGAATTGATCAGTCTAAAAATCTCTGAATAAAACCTCTTTTTAGCTTCTAAATGATAGGAGTACCGTAACTAAATGCAGGTGATTAAAGCGAAGTATATTGGCAGCCGCGATTTCAACTATACATTGACTTTTATCTGTATTTATTTTAAAATCAGTTGTATGATAAAAAACTAAAACTTTTACAGAGTTGTAAGACTACGTGAAAAAGAAGAAATAATGATAAACATTAGGCATTATTTTTTTCCGTTTTTTATCAGAATGTTGAAAATGTAAATAATAAAACAACGGTAATGCTAGGGATTAGGTTAGATATGTGTTACATAATTTTTTTTATTTTTTTTTTTTGCACAAAGTTCAAAACACGACAATTCATTTTATTCGAAAATAATTTTTTTATTTAAAATCATTTTAGTATGATGAATAAACGAAAAACTGTCATCGTGAGTTATTCAAACATGTTATAAAAAGTAAAAATATATAAGTATAGTATACTATTGTATTTATCTGATATCTCACCTAAAAACATAGGCTTTTAACATTTAGTATTATTAACGCAAAGGTTGATTATAGTTTTGCTTATCGTAGGTGTTTTTCGCGGTAGAAAGATTTTTATTTTAGCTTGCCAAGACGGATAAACATTGTAGTTCACGGAACGAATACAGTTCAAGATGTATAGAACAATTGTATTATAGGTATATGCTTTTGGAAGTAATACCATAACCGAAGTCGAGTGCAAGGATAGTCGACGGAACAGATTCAATTATGATGCTTTCACAAAATCCGGGAAATGAGCCAGTCAGAAAGTGTTAAATCTCTCAGCGTGAATCTGCGAAATTTTTTCACTGCTCGAAGAGGGCGTTGAAACGAGTGGTTCACCATTGTTTATAGTGGTACGCGATTTGATTCAAATCGTTCGAGGGTTGAATATTCTTCGTAATTTTGATATACGTGTGAAATATAAAATAATCGTTTCTTTATGAATTTCAGACGAAAAGTTGTATTGCGCTGAAGAAAACCTTTCAAAGTAAATTCATAGAAGAAGTTTCTTTATGTTTTTTTTTCAGTTCTTGACAAGAGAATATTATTTACGATTTAGCGTTTTAATTTTTTCTATTATTTATCACGATAATTTCTCATAACTCGACAAAAAACCTTCAACTTTACAATTGTTAACATGTAAATAAATTTAAATCAATTTTTGTTAGTGAAAAAATAAAAACGCTGCATCGTAGATAATTTTCTTCTCTTTATAATCAAACAAAATTGAACCCTCAATTGAAAACTAGATATTCACATGCTTAAATCAGAAATGTAACACACTTTCTTGAATTCTTGTTAACGGAACCAACAATTCAATAATCAGCAATAAAAAAAATAAAAATAAAATCTTTAGTGAAAACAAATACTTTTTTATCGTTTCGTTCGGAGCGCAATACAAAATAATAATAAAATAATATTGATACGATCTTGTAATTATTATCGCGAACCCTGTAAACAGTTGGAGACCAATATCCATGTGTGTATACGCGGTTCCCTCTCCAGGACATGAATACCGTGGTAAATGCATTTCGCACGTTCATTTGAACTGAGTCACAACAGGTATAAAGTAAATTGATCAATAAATTTATAATCCTGTACCATGTTAATGCATGACATGTACTGACACAAAAGTTTTATTTAATATTGATTGAACAATGCAAAATGTTATTCACTGTAACAGCAGATATTGTTATATGTTTTGTTTTTATAGATCAATGATAAATATGTTTAAGCACATTTTGAAACCAAAGTCTCTGGTACTATGGATTGTTTTATTCACATTAATTATATGGACTTATACATTTTATTCGTTGACTGCATTTACAGATGTTTTGAACGAACACCACTCATCTATACTTGGTAAGTGTTTGAACAATTATTGTACTACTAAAATTGATACAGTTTTTTACGTAGAACGAATAGTGTCAAAAAGTCAATTACAGTTGGTGTAATAATTGTAATCGAAATACATATAAATACTACTGATACGGTCTTACATTGTGGGCATTTTTAATGAATTATGATGTTTTATATTTTTTTATTCGTATTTATCTCGTAAGTTATAATTAAATATCATGAAACGAGGTAAACATTTTACATGTGTAAGAATCCGAAAACACACTTAAATGAATAACACTAAACATGTTTTGGTAATTGGTTTGCGCCTCTGATGGAATTTCTATCCACGCCCTCGTTTGCATCTCAAATTGTTTTGTAACGCGTTGCACGGCTTTCCAGGTACGTCCGGGTATCTAATCAAAACGCCAGGCTGCCGGATTCCGGAAATGTATTTAAACGGGCCCGAGGTCGACAAGTACATGAACTACAACGAAAAGTTGGACTGCAGGTCCATGTGGAACTATACATTGCCATTGGTTACGTCCAACCTGACGGCGTTGATATTGAACGCGACCGCGCGGACCGCGTTGATCGTCACCGAGCGGCATCCGAAGTTCGAATGTTATTACAGTGCCGTGAAAAGACCGGTGGTCGAGACCGGCCAGGACGTCAGCGGGTTCAACGAGAACAGCGTCAAGTACGACCCGAACGCTGATAGGTTTAGCATATTGTTTTACGGTATCGTACGGAATAGTTATAAATCTTAACGATCCTCCGCGGCAATTGACCGGAACGCTTTCGAATGCCCGTCGGATGAATTACCTACAATTAGCGTTCGAACGGTTTTCAATCCTAACGCTTCACAATCCACTAGCCGATTATATTCGTCCGGTCGTCGAGTCGGAAAACACCACAAAAGGCAAACCCTTTCTCTTTACGTACCAATTATGTTTTATTTACCTGACATTTATGTATGCGCTTTAAGCGAACAATTCAAAAATTTCCGAAAATTGGGTGGACAATTTTTATATGCAATACATACGGACCGTTAAAACCTTTTGTTAATTATGTTTTATTCCAAAAAATTCTCATATCGTTCATCCTCAAATGCTTTATGGCAAAAATGTTTAGATCTCTCCTCGACGATGTATGCGCGGGGTATCAGCACCTAGTTTAATTTGGTTTTCATGATCGAAAAAAATATATCACATATCCGAATCGAAATCTTAATCGGTTTGTTATTTTATAGCATGGGTGGGTAACTGGCGGCCCGCGAACCTTTTATATCTAGCCTGTACTATATTTTAAAATTACATCATGCAATTTTAAAGTAGGTATATCGTCTATACTCTAACTTATCGATATATTAATTATTATAATATCTAAATGTCACATGTATGTATAAGTACAGCTTTCAACCATAGCTGTTTGTACCGAGCTATTTAGTTTCTTCGTATCATTCGTATAGTTTTGTCGTGTGTGTTAAATGTATACAAATTCATATTTCGAATGACCTTTTTTATTTACTTTTTTTTATGCTCTGGCCCGCAAGATTTTAATTTTCTAAAAATTGGCCCTCTAGTTACTTTGAGTTGCCCATCCCTGTTTTATAGGATCGTTAATAATAAAAAAAAAAAAAAATAAATAAAAATAAAGAAATCTTTTTACCGGTTTACTTGAACGGTTTCGACATTGTTCGAGTCCCAGGCGCAATCCATAAATACCGTGCACTGGGTACCAAGCCGGTGTGTTTTAATCAATACGTTTTTTGCAGACTCGGGGAGAAAGTGTACTTCGAGGACGACGTAACGGTATCGGACGAGATGATCGAAGCGATATGCACATTCAACGGCAACGTGGTGTACAAAGATTACCATATATTCGTGCGCCCTGCCCCGGCGGCGATGACGCGTCGGGACGGGGACGTGAACGTGCTGATCCTGGGTCTAGACTCGGTGTCACGGCTGAACTTTCACCGTCAGATGCCGTTGACGGACGCGCTGCTGTCGCGGCTCGATAACGTGGAGATGCTGGGCTACAACAAGGTTGAGGACAACACGTTCCCGAACCTGGTGCCGCTGCTGGCCGGACTGTCGGTGGACGAGCTGCGGAACCGGTGCTGGCCCCGAGACGACGGGTTCTTCGACGAGTGCCGCTTCGTGTGGGACGACTATAAGCGGGCCAACTTCAGTACCACGTTCGCCGAGGACAGCCCGACAATCGGAACGTTCAACTACCTTAAGCCCGGGTTCCTGGGCCAGCCGACGGACCACTACCTGCGACCGATCATGTTGCGCGCGGAGCACGGCGTGGGCCACGGTTGCGCCTCGGGGAACACGATGTGCTGCGCGGGCGGCCGATTGGCCATGGCCGCGCTGCTGGACCACGCACTGAAGATCACTATGTCCGCGGGCAATCGGCTGCACATGGGCTTCTACTGGTCCACCAGCCTAACGCACGACTACGTCGAGTACGCGCGGTTCGGGGACCGTGACCTGGCCGCGTTCTTCGCGGCGCTTGACGCCACCGGTATGCTCAACAACACAGTGGTGCTACTGATGAGCGACCACGGTATCCGGTGGGGCACGTTCCGGGACACGTACCAGGGTGCCCTGGAGGACCGGCTCCCCATGTTGCGGTTCGTCGTGCCCGAGTGGTATGTGCGTGTGCACCCGGCGGCCGTGCGCAACCTGCGTGCCAACGCGAACCGGCTGACCACGCCGTACGACGTGCATGAGACGCTGCTGGAGCTGGCGGACGGATCGCTGGGGTCACCGGGATCGCAGTCCGGCCGCGGCGTCAGTCTGTTCCACGAGGTGCCGGATGACCGGACGTGCGAGGCGGCCGGTATTCCGGTGCACTACTGCAGCTGTCACGACGTGAGGGTGACGCTGAGGCCGGACGACGAGGACGCGGTCCGGGCGGCCAACCTTCTGGTGCACTATGCGAACGCGGTGCTGGCGCCGTACCCACGGTGCGCCAACCTCACGTTGCACCGGGTAAACGCGGCCGCGGTGCAGATGGGCCGGGACAGCGCGTCTACGCGGGATTACGAGGTGCGCGTGACCACAGTACCAGGGCTAGCCAAGTTCGAGGCGGTGATGCGGGAGGACCGGGCCACCGCCGGCCGCTTCAAGATGGTAGGCTCGATCAGTAGGTTGAACATGTACGGCAACCAGAGCGAGTGTGTGCGCGATGCCAAGATCAAACTGCTGTGCTACTGCGTGCTAGGCGACTAGGCGCGCGCGGCCCGTGACCAGGCTCGACCGTAAAGCTGTAATGCCCGTCGCACGACGTCATTATACACCATCGCACTCGGCGCCTTAAGGGTCGGGACCCCCACATACGGGATTAATATTAGTCGTTTCATCTTGAACTTGCGACAGTAGCAAACGCGAATCCGCAATAACGATCGGTTCCACCGGTTACAAACACCGATATTTTCGTTTGCGAGACGAATAGTTATCGCCAATGCTGAGCATTAACGAGCTAAAAAGCTAACATTAAGTTACTTTTTACTAAGTTACATAACGGGTTAATTCATTTCTTGGTACGATTAAGTTATTTAATTTTTCTTTATATAAAACCTATAGATTTAAAATAATATATTGTGTAAGAAAAATAATAATAACAACTATATATATAAGTAACAAATATTGAAATGGTATATTATTGTAAAGGCTTTTTTTATTATAACTAGATTAATAATAATACATCATCGAACTGTTTCGCACAATTCTTGGATTTCAACAAGTATTGAAATAATGTATATAAATACAAGTACGTCATAGCTAATACCAAATTACAAAATACGAATGTATGATGTATTTGGATAAAACAACATAATGGTATTAAGTTATTATAAGTTATAAATGATAATTTATAATAATGTACAGATATTGAACAGAAAAAGCCAAAGGGGTAATCATTATTGTGAAAAGACAAACTAAATGATATTTAATACAGTATCCAATACACGTTTGTAAACTCTTATTAATTTTTGATTATAATTTTTTATTATGCATAATTTTATATAATTTGATAGAAATAAAATTTACGGCAATAACCATGATTTCGATATAAATAATTTAAGCGAGACTTTTGTGTGTCGTAAAAAGTTATATTTCATAATATTTGTTTCGTATTACTTCCCGTGCGCTGAAAATAATCACCAAAATAAAATTAAATAAAGTATATAACTGTCGATGAAAACTTGTGGATAAAAAATACATTCAAATAATATAACTATATTGTTGAATTTCATAATTGATTTAGTATCAACAGCAATTAATACAATAACCAATATTTGTTTTAAATAATAAGACCTATATTATGTTATGCTTTAACAAAAGGTATCGTTATTTTTTCTAATAAACTTGAATACTTTTACAAGTAAACTGAAAATAAAAGTAGCTTTTAACTTAACTTACATTTTTTTTTATTAACTCAACTTAATGATATAAAAAAATCATTTAACTTGTCCAGCCTTGATTATAAAACATGCGCTTATTGTGAAAACAAAAACATGAATGTTTTTTTATTTTGTTAGTTAAAAAATATAAATAAAAATTTTGTTTATCGTACATTAGCGTTTAATTGATTCTGATTGATTTGCAACCATATGATCGTAAATCTCATGTTGAGAAATGATTATTTAAACACGTATTGTACGCTTGTTGTATTTTTTCAAACTGTTATTAATTATATTCCTTGTTTTTTACATGTGATATTTTCTATATTTACAATCATGTACATTATAATGTAATACATTAAGTTGTTATCATAAAGTTTTTATACTCCGTTCGGTATTAGTTTGATTTCTTATTTATTAATAATAATTTGTAGTACCTAATTAATTGTTTAACACATTTGTTTAACACCCATTATAGTTTATATTATTATAAATGTCGACTCCTATGAAACGTCTTGCGACTAGCGTTGACGAAAACGCTTCAGCGGAACAATTGTTGATTGTAATGATAATCAGTGCTTGATATGGCAAAATTAAAGATGGGAGACTCTGTTTGTTTAAAAAAGAATTGCGTACCCAAAACTTGTTAAGCATTATAATTATAACGTATTAATAATAGGGGAATGCTAAAATTTCTAAACATTAGAAGAGGTACTCCGTTCCCCTGTATCACCCCTCAAGTGGAGCACTGATATTATATTTTATTATTATCAATTATCATTGATAATTGTATTATACGTTTGACTTTAGATTTGTTACTCAGCTAGAATTCTTTCGTAAACTATGGGTATTAAAATGTAATTATTTCGGAATAAATATTATCTTGGCGCTCTCTAGGTGAATAATTTTGTACTTATATATTCCAATCGTGTGTAGAATGCGGCTCCGTCGAATAATGTCTTGTCGAATTTACGGTATCAATAAAAACAAGTATGCCTATTTCACAATCCGGGTCAACATGAATAATATAATGTATTATATACTTTAGGGGATGAGTGCAATATGTAGTTGCGATCCCGAATGGATCGATCGGGGGACGCTACGGCACCCATTTGCCGACTTAAGATATAAGTATACAAATATTGTAATTTTTTCCTTTGTATTTTTATTCGTTGATACGCCAAAAAAAAAAAAAAACTATCGATTATTTGGATTTACAATATTTCTTACGCAATAAAATACGCAGTACCTGTACTAGAATAATAGCGTTTGCTTATTTACAAGTATTTGCCAGTAATCATGTACAGTTTTATTAGATTTTATCTGGTACCCGTATATTACATGATCCCTGAATAGTGTTGTCAGATATAATAAATATATATTGATAATAATGTTTCGGTAAAATATTTGAACAGACTAGTAGATACAATTGGGTAAAACGAACATTTTTCAAATCTCTCTTGTTGACGTAACAAATCCATTAACTTGAGCGTTAGAGATTATCCTACAAAAACACTTTACGTGCTTTACGAATTAACGATTACTATTTACGATTTTTGACTATCGTGTACAAAAACATTCAATAGAACACGAAATTCTAAGAGGTTTTACCCTTTACGGGTAAAGAAAAATATAGAGTTAAACATAGATTAAATTTATTATATTTATGTATCACATTTTATGTGATTAATTCATTTTTTCCCCGCAAAATGTGGTCCTAATTTTTTTATGTAGGTAATTCAATATATTTTTTTTAACTTTATAAGTTTCCCAACATTTTTGTACAAATTTTTGTTTTTCTATAGTTTTTTTTTTTAAATTTTTTAGTTATTTTTCTTTCATTGCTGTTTATTTTTAAATTGGTCTCCGTTTGAATTTCAATACGTCAATACGTTTATAACAATTCGATGATTTGGATATTGTTTATAAAATTGTTGATTATAATTTAAATGGAAAGATTTTGGTCCATTAGTTGTTCTTGGGTATGTTTTTGCCTTTTCAGCCTAAATAAGAGGTGGAAATTGTAAATCTTCGGATATATAATTTTCAAGATTATAATCAATAAAGTCTAATAGATCGGACGGCGTTATAAACATAAGCTCAACAAAACTACATCAACCACATCAAACGAAAAAAAACTCAAGCCAAAAAAATGTTGAAGCCGAATTCCAGTACCTGTTTTCTCGGTGTAATGTTTCAATAAATATTTGCAGCTTTGTATTTTACAAAATCAACTTTGGTGTAAGTGAAATCGGAAATAAATTATTCGACGATTGGGGAAAATCAAAAATGTTATCGAAGCCTAAAATTCTGAGGTGAAAATATATTATTACCGCTAATCCCTATTATACCCACAGATGTACCAATACAACTTAAACGCCTTCAATTTCCAATTAGATTGGCATTTGCAATGACTATCAATAAGTCTCAAGGCCATACGATGTCTGTCTGTGGCTTAGATTTGAGCACATCATATTTTTTACATGGACGTGTGAAAACGTGGCGTGCTCTCGAACCATCTAGTTTGTGTTGGTGAAAGATGGGATAACAAAAAATATTGTACACTCTGTTGTATAAAGGGATAGATATTGTTTTTTAATAATATTGTCATAATTAGCGATACATATAATTTTAATGGATCAATTTTAATAAATTATTAAAAAAAATAAATGTTTGATGTTTTTTCATTTTTATATATCGTCACCGTTCACAGCACTCCATACCTCTTCTTTACATCCTTATCCTTATCCACATCCTTACATGTCTATATTAAATTAGTTATTTTTTTCTAGCAAAATATTCTCTAAATAATAATTTATATGACAAAACAATGTTTGTCGGGTCATCTAGTAATATATAATAATTGTCTTTATCGTCGCGATTCGCAATGGTCAATGGGCGATAATCAATTAATAAACAGACCCATACGCAGGGCCGGATTTAGGGGAGGGAAACCAGGTTGATAGTTCCGGGGCCTCTACAAAAGAGGAGCCTCTAAAATTGAAACTTCGGAAAAAAAATCTTTCAAATTACAAATGCACTGTAACCCATTCGTCGAAATTGGATAATTGGATAAAAATAAATCTAAAACTATACCAAATTTTAGAAGATCAAAATTTCAGAGCTACATTCCCAAACCTTGAAATTGCATTAAGAATGTATTTGGTTTTGATGGTATCAAATTGCACCGGAGAGCGATAATTTTCAAAAATGAAGATTATAAGAAATAGGCTTCGAACCACGATGAGACAAAACCGTCTATTAAAACTTTCTCTCCTGAGTGTTGAAAGCGATTTACTTCGGGAACTGGATTTGAGCGAACTTACTACTTATTATTATTAATGTACAATGATTACAATGATACAATGATTACAATGTTACAATGACGTAATCTACAAAACATATTTTACAACGTATTTATATCACATAGATGGAACAGTTTTTCGAAATATAAAAATTTTTTAAAAATATATGTTTCGCAAAAACCTTCCTGTAATAGTTTTAAAATATTACATTGTAATGTTACCATAAAACTTAAAAGTTTATATTTCTGGAATATTTGTGACAGTTCTTTGCACGGTGGGATATTGTGTCCAAAGGTGTTTTCATATATGTTTATTTTGTTGTAACCTGTTCACTTGTTGTAATTATTCTTATAATTACACTGATTACCATACCTATTATTCCATACGCCGATACTAAATAAAATTGAAAGATTCATTTGAGGATTAACGCCCATTGATTGTAATGATAAATGAACACGATCGGTAGTAGCGCAGTGCAAAATAAGACAGTCGGAAGTCAAAAGTCAGGTTTGTCGTTCCAGTACTTGTTCCAGTCACCGTCCCACGATCTCCCACCGCTGCTAACGCGAGACGTACGCACGACCGGAACCCTGTGGCCGACGCGTGGCCGACGGTCATCCGTGGTCCTCGCCACCGCCAGTTTCGCCACGACGGGTTCCTTTGGTCCCGTCTCGTCGGGTTCCGCCGGTTCTGGGTTCGTCCCGATCTCGTGATATCCACCGCAACACGTCCGCCCAGACGGCATCATGGTCAGGCCGCTGATGGTGGTTGCCGTCCACGTGTACAGGCCGTACAGCCGGACGACGATTACGAGCACCGCGTATGAGTACACGAAGTTAACGACGAGGAACGCGATTGGCGACCTGATGCTCGGC